CCTAAACAAAATCCATTCACACTCCTTTGGTAACGCTTGCTCTACTTCTGAAATATTGTGCTTTCTACCCTATTCCCAAAGAGACAGACAACTTCTTACTGCTTGTTCAGTCATTGATGTAGTGAATCCTAATACAGTGTTTGGAGGAAAAGTCACCCGGGTTGGCAGCTGGGCAGAAACAAAGCAGACTTTGCTCCCCTCTCTTTTCACTAATATAAGACAGAGGTAAGAGTGAAACCTCCCATCTTTATTTTGCAAAATGCCTGATTGCATAAGTTGTCTTGGATCTGCTATTTCTGGCCCGCAAAGGCTACTTGAAAGCCAGTCCACACTTAGAAAATACCCAGTTATAGGGACTCTTTGGGCTCCCAGTCGCTGATGCATCTTTGTGGTGCAGTAATCCTTCCTCCTAACAGGTGTTGGTGCTGCAGAATGTCCCCCAAGAAAAAAGTTTGGTGGTTTTATTTTTCAGGGCTTGACATCTATGGAAAAAATCCCCATTGACTCCAGTAGCATCTGGCCAAGTCTCTTAAAAGCCTTGCGGTGGCTGTTTCCCAAGGGAGTTTGTTCATTATCACGTGAGCTGGAATCTTGCGCTGAGGGTAAAGGACATATTTTGCATTTGGGGGTCTCCCATGAGTGGCTTTGATGTCTTTTGGGGGTTTGCAGGGGAATTGTTGGAGCAATGGGTAGGTTGCTGAGATCAGGACCGGTCGTATGTAGAGCAGGTTCCTGCCCTGCCCGCTTTCTGATGTGTTTGTACTCGGAGAGAAGGTACCGCAAGTACTGCCGCTCTAAGAGAGGGAAGGATCAGCCGTAGCTCCTCCTAACTCACTGGAGTCACACCGGGAGAGCTTCTGCAGCTGAAAATAGACTTCAGTCTAGTTTTGCGGGGAAAAAAAACCTGACGCCATCTCCAGTATATAGCTTTGTCTGCTGTCCAAATAATAAGCATTAAAGGAACGCAACAGGCATATTAAAGATGCACACGAAGGCTGCTTAAACAAAGCAGAACATTGCACAGTCTGGGGCTGACTTGCTGCTGACTTTTAAGCCCAGCAGCGTAAGGGGAGGATGGATGGAAAAACCCTGAATGCTGGGAGGGAAAAATGCTAGTCAGGGAAAAACCCTGACTAGCAAAGCATCTGCAAGTAGGAGTTACCGACTGCTCCATGTTTCCTTTCCCCTCCCTGAATTCAGTTCCCCTTCCAAAATATCTCCAGTTGCAAGAGATGAGCCAAATGTTCTGCTGGATGTGCTCGGCGTGGGGATTGCCTGGAAGGGAGAGGGAGAAGCTTGGACTGAGGTCTTAGAGCCCTGGGGTGGGGAGGGAGGATACTTGAAAGCAATGAGGCTATGTTGGCTTGCACAGCCCAGTTGCTGGCAAATAGTGACTTGCCGAGCCCAGGTCAGGTCGTGTTGTGGGGAGCTGGGAACCTTCTGCCCTGCTCTGCCACGCTCGGAGTTAAGTAATATTGGTGCATACTGGTGGTTTAGGGTTTCTTCTGTCCTCCATCACCACCTCTTGAAAACAGAAGTACTGTAAAGAAATTTCTGGGTTTCCCTAGAGATGTTTCTTCAGCAAAGCTGAGGCTGTTGTTTATTGTGTTTTGTTGTCCTTGAATTTTCTGCTTAAGTATATACCTGAAAGGCGGTGGTTGTTTTTGTTTTAAATATGTACCCCCCCCAAGTCGGTTGTTGCTGGATTGGATCAGCGAGAGATGCCAAGAATGACTGCGATAGCAAACTGTGAATTCAAGGGATACCAAGGAGGCTGAGCGCGAGGGCCCAGATTTGTTTCAGCACGCAGCCTGTGTCATGGCTGTGCATGCAGCCAGGAGGCTGAATTTGGCCTCGAGCTGTTAAATTCGCTCGGGAAGCTGCTGGAAGGGAGCTTAGGCCTTGGCGGTGCAGGGATGAATCTGTGGAACAGGGAGCTGCTTCGCTGGAGGAAGCAGGTAGCACGTATAAATAAGATGTGGGTTCAAGGTATTACCTCTGCTAACTGGATTCAGGTTCTCCTTTCTTTCCTTCATTTTTACTTGAAAAATTGCTTTTGGATAATTCTGTGAAACTTCTTGCAATGCCACGTCCAGGTCTCACTTAGCTAATGCTGGAGAAGCATCAGCCCGTTCCCCTGCACGCTCGGACCGGAGCCCCTTGCCTCTCGTGTGGGTGCTCGTATCGGCGAGGCGGAGATGAGCTGCTTGTAGTTCAGAGCTTGCTATCCTGCACTGCCAGCCGAGGGAGGGAGGGAAAACGCGCCGAGGCGCAGCGAGGTGTGCGGGCTTGTTTACAGCCCTGATTCAGGTCGGGTCAGACTGAATTGCCAGCTAGCATTTTGGCAGCTTTTATGTTCTTCAAGCACTTTACACAAAGAGCAAGCTTACCATGCCCCAGAAGCTAATGATCCTGCCAGCATACAGCCAGTGCTTAAATGGTTTTAAATCTCTTTCGGAGGGTGGCGGCGGCTTGTTTGTATCTCTGCATGTGAGCTATAAAGTAATGGGACTTTTGGTTATGGTCAGAAAACTGCATTTCAATGCCAGTTAGTCTGATATCCTTCTCACTTCTAGCCTGTATTCCTCCTAATCCTGCACTGCCAATGCTGCAGCTTCAGCGTGATGAGTTGTAAGTGGAAATTTCATTTCCATAGTCTCTGAAAGCTTATTGGTTTTAATGAATGTGGAAGATTAATGCTAATTATTTTCTTTGCCACACAACCGGTGATCTTAATGAAATAAGACCAGTATGGCCTCAATGCAGTGTTTTGAAGTCAGTTTTCTGAACAAAAACACTGGTTTCATCTGTTTTTTAAAGCAGTAGTAAATTCTGTTAACTGCCCTGGGTGCCTCATGCACGGCCAGAGGGCCGCAGTTATCACTGCAGTCCTGCGACAGTCTTAGATTCGTGCTGGGAAAGGGACTGGTTCTTACCCATTGCCAACTTCAGCTTGAATGCACTTAAAGTCTCTCTTCAAAGTGATTAATCAGAGTTTCTGCATGGGGAAGGAAAAAAAAAAAAAAAAGCAGTTGGCTTGGCTCTCTGTGCCTCACTGCCATGACGTTTGTACGGCGCATATAACGGGACCAGCCGCCGTGGTGTTACCTTGCACTTTCCACAGCCTGCTGCAGTATTTTCGGGACTTTTTCCCCGTATCTCCTCTCCCTTCCATCCAGCTCAGTACTAGTCATACATGGTGTTAAGTTTACAATCTTAGTCTCTTGAAGCCAGCGCACACTCAATCTGTAATGCACACTATGCATGGAGCACATAGGTGATATTAAGCTCGTAACAAGCAAACCCGTGTAAGCAATCATGACACGCAGCGCCTGAAGCATGTCTTCAGTGGGACTTAACGCAAGCCTGAGCAAGATCTGTTTAATTGCTGAACTCTCAATCACTCCAAAGTGGTAATCGGTTACTTTAACTCAGCTTCCACCAAAGACTCTTGTGTTGGGGAGTTGAATTTTTGTGGTGTTTTGGTTTTTTTTTTTTCCTCGTGGTGTTAAATCAAGGCCTTTCAGTA